GTCTCTTAATAATTCAAGTGCTGAATGACTCGAAAAGTGTTTTTGCTACATATTTGCTATACTGAAGGTGTCACTGCCTCTGCTGCATCATATTGGCAGATACAGATTTTTTTAATGCCTAAGGGTAAAAAGTGATGCTACCAGACAAAAGGATGAATAAAAACTTTCTTTGAATCGTGCATTGAATTAAAATTGAATTAAAATTGAATTAGCATGAGAGCTGCTGACATTTATAAAGTTTCATCTGCTGATTTTCTGCATATAAAGCCATGTTAAAGGCATCAGAACGCTTAAATTAAAAATGGTATGCATAGCAGTACTACATAAAGGGAAAAGTGATTGAAAATAACCTGGCTATTCACTGGAATCTGTGGGATTTATGTCCATAGGTGAGCAGAAATTTCAATGATTACATAGCATTTAGATCAGTGGTTCCCAACTTGTGGTCCAGGGACCACCAATGGTCCACAAGAACTAAAATATGGTCTGTGCCCTCACCATTACTACACCATTGCAATGAGAGCAACTAGTCCTGCGAAACCCTCTTATAGTGCCGAGACTTACTAAATATGGTTTTCTGTGGGTGAGCAGATGGCAACTATGAATGACATATGTTCTGTAATAGAAACTAGAGCTGATGTGGTTTATCCAATTCAATTTTCTGAATCAGCTCCCCAAATCATCAATCCAAATCAAAGTTTACCAAAAACTGATTTGTAACCTCTTTGATACTAATGTTGGAGAGTGGTCCCTGGTCAAAAACAAAAAACAAAAACTGGAAACCACTGATTTAGATATACTGACTTGTCCATTTTGGAAACCTTTCTTTTAAGACTGTAAATACCAGAATCCTCTAGTCAACATGGCAAGTCTGTGAAGAAGGGGCCTTTGGGACTTGTTCATGGTGATTGGTGGCTCCCAAGTCAGTGGGGTAGTGAATGGGTTCCAGGTTTTAAGCTACATTTAAAGGAGCTATCAATTGTGCTGAATCCATTTTTGAAATGTGGCTACTTCTGAATTCAGGCTAAAACCTAAATGCCATACCCTGCTCTACCAACATGGAAGTCAACTATCATCACAGGTTGTAGTGACACAAAATAAGGTTTCTAAGTTCTGCTGACTTAATTCTGTACAAGCACATCCAAAATTCAGTATTCAAGGACTTTTCCAATGTGCAAGATTTCTAAGTATATGCATGAATATCTCGCAGCAAAAGGGATTTTGTTTGATTTGAGTATTATTGTTTTCATATATTTGTTATTATTTCTATTTTATGATATATGCAATATTGTTGTTTTTGTGTGTGCCTTCAAATCATTTCCAGCTGATCGTGTCCCTATGGTGAAATTATCACAGGGTTTTTTTTTTAAGGTAAAGTTTCTTCTGAGGGGACTTGACTTTACCTTCCTCTGAGGCTGAGAATGTATGACTTGTCTTAGCATTAATAAATACCTATCTATGATGGAAACATCACTTGTAATGCATGTGCAATTTCGTTCTTTATAAACCTGGGCTTTTGTGCTTTTTCAGGATTTAAGAGGCTTTTTTATTGGTGGTGGAAATAAGATTTTTTTCAGTAATGGAGAAAGATGGGCTAGATATTTTATAAATTTTAATACAATATAGCAGTATAAACGAAACGTTTTTTCTACCCTTCCTTACCTTTGCATTTATAGGCTTTCAAAAATAGTCAAGTGACTCTTTGAATGTTTGTCATTCAAAGCCTGAACACTGAATATTTTGAGGCTCAAAGAAGGGTCATGTGACATCTTACAAGATGGTTGCTTATTCTCTGACCTCTTCATTCATCAATTTGCTTCAAAATTTAATAAAAATGTAATTATCTATTAAGCTATTGATGTGAAGTGTCATCAAAGTAAAAAATTAACTGTGAGGATAAAGTCTTAGCCTATTACAAATGGATTGTTTGTATGAGTGGGAATACATGGAACAAAACACTGAAGTCTTTAGACCTGTTGCACTTCAATTTACAAGCGAAGCAGCTGCTTTCAGCCTGTTTTGAAGCAAAGCTGTATGGAAGGTTTTAGCATTTTAAAGATATCTCTTAAAACAAGCCATGCAGAAAACAAACTCTCAAATGGCCGTTTAAAGCTGGTGGTTTAAAGTGACCTCACACAAAAAATGACTTAAATAAAGGAAAAGTGCAATTTGATGCATGCACACAGAGACACTCACAGGTCCACTAATTGAAAGGCTATTTGGTTTTCCTTATGGCTTCCACGAGCATCCAAACTGTGTGCATGTCTGTGTGCTTTCAAATTGCCAGTCAACTTATGGAGACCCCATGAATTGGGTTTTCTTAGGCAAGGAATACTCCGGGTTGGTTTTGTCAGTTTCCCTTTCAAGGCCCTTCCATACAGCCATATAACTCAAAATATCAAGGCAGATAATCCACAATATCTGCTTTGAACTGGATTATCTGAGTCCACACTGCTATATAATCAGTGTGGTGATTTTACAGCTGTGTGGAAGGGGTCTCGGACATATAGACTATAGCATCTGGTATTCCTTGGTAGTCTCTCATATTATTTATTTATTTATTTATTTATTTACTTTGCTTATATACCGCTGTATCTCAAGCCCGAAGGTGACTCACAGCGGTTCACAAACAGTAAAAACAGTAGAAACAGCAGTGGTTCCATACAACATATAACAATTGACTTAACACATTATCCATAAATTACCAATAAGCAATTACAATGCACAATTATTACGAAAAACAACCGTACCCAATCTTCTCATCATCCAAGCGTAGTCCAGGTTCGTCGTCCATTGTTCCATTCCTATGTTCCATTACCAGATTGCACTAAATTACTCAAACGCCTGCACAAACATCCAGGTCTTCACCTTTTTGCGGAATACCATTAGAGATGGTGCTAGTCTAATGTCCGTAGGAAGGGCGTTCCACAGCCGAGGAGCCACCACCGAGAAGGCCCTATCTCTCGTCCCCGCCAGCCGAGCTTGAGAAGCAGGCGGGATTAAAAATAGGGTCTCCCCGGAAGATCTCAAAGTCCTGGTGGGTTCATAGGCAGAGATGCGGTCAGATAGGTAGCTTGGGCCAGAACCGTTTAGGGCTTTAAAGGCCAACGCCAGCACTTTGAATTCAGCCCGGTAGCAGATCGGTAGCCAGTGGAGTTGGCGCAACAGGGGGGTTGTATGCTCTCTGCGCTCCGCTCCTGTTAAAATCATGGCTGCCGAGCGTTGGACTAGTTGGAGCTTCCGAGCTGTCTTCAAAGGCAACCCCATGTAGAGAGCGTTGCAGTAGTCTAAACGGGATGTAACCAGAGCGTGGACTACCGTGGCCAAGTCAGACTTCCCAAGGTACGGGCACAGCTGGCGCACAAGCTTTAGTACTAACCACCTCGAAACTGCCTTGAGTTGCCTCCGGGTTGAAAGGGGCAGTATACAAATATAGTAAATAAATAAATAAATAAATAAATAAATAAACAAATAACCAGAATTGACCCTTTTTAGCTTCCAGGGTCAGGTGGGATCCACATTTTAAATATGAGCAAAGTGGGGAACTGTGCTGTCACCTGAAATAGTTTGAGGAACATGCAAGATTAGGAACTAATCAAAGAACTGGAAATCACATAATCATGGTGAAAGGATAAAAAGAAACTATATATAGTTAGCATTGCGGTTGAAACTGCTAGTTGCAGGAAAGGCTGATGACCAGAGGGTCAACGGCTCGAAGCAGTGAGTTGGAGTGAGCTGTTGATTGTCAGTCTTAGCTGCTGCCAACTTAGTAGTTCAAAAGCATGCAATGTGAGTAGATAAATAGGTTTAGCCTCAGCGGGAAGGTAAAAGGGTGCCTCATGCAGACATGCAAGCAAAAAGATCAGAAATGTCTATGGACAGCAGGGTCCTTTGGCAAGGAAAATAGAACAACAGCACCTCCTCATAGCCGGAAGTTGAGCATGGCCTCCAGATGCCAGAAATGGTAAAAGGGGAAGCCCTTTACCTTATCTGTATTATTGTAAGTGCTTTATCAGAACCAATGATTCTGATAATTCAAACTACTACAGCATGATGGCCATATTATTGTAAAAGTCTATATTTTGTCACCTGAGCTTTTTTCAACTTTTATTGTACAACCACAATGGTGAGCAGACACAATTTAATATTTAGGAGATTACCATCTTCCTGTGGGTGGGAGCGGGATAAACTTGGCAAGGTTCAAAACTGTTAAGGAGTGAACAGAAGTAATCTAATGTTATGGTGAAAAATGTAAGTGCTCTTGTGAATAATTTATTTTGATATTCCTTAATATTACCCAAATTATCTATATGGAACAGCATGCATTTTACTTATATTTTGCACATGTGCTCACAAATCTACAGGGATTGATGCAGTTGTTTATTACAATGGTGTGTTGAACTAGTGAGCTAGCTACAAAGGTAGATGCTTTAGAGAAATAATCAAATATAATTTAAAACAGAGGAGATGGAGATTGGGGATAGGACTGTATCTTTCTTTTTTTAAGATGGCAGTCTCTGGTTTTCCATTTTGGAAGCTAGCAAAGTAAGTGGCCCTGGTGGCACAATGGGTTAAACCATTGAACTGTTGAATCTGCTGACCTAAGGGTTGGCAGGTCAAAACCATGGGTCGAGGTGAGCTCCCACTGTTAGCCATGCTGGCAACATGACCAGGAGGTATGTATGGACAACAAGCTTGGAAATGGAACAAGAGCACCTCCCTGTGGCTAGAGTTGAGCACCACCTCCAGAAGCCGGAGATGAAAAAAGATTACCTTTGTTCTGTGTATTTGTGTGTCATTGTTATTCCACTGTATTAAAGGCATTGAATGTTTGCCGCTCTGTGTATGTTGTAATCTGCTCTGAATCCCCTGGGGGAGACAGAGTGGAATATAAACAAAGTGTTATTATTATTATTATTATTATTATTATTATTATTAAATGGATGAAGAATAAAATTATCCTAAAATTCTTACTATTCTTTTCTGTTTTCTCTCCACAGGAAAAATTAACCCAGGAGTGTGTGTTCAGAGAACAGTTTGAAGAGAACTGGTATAACACATATTCATCGAACCTATATAAGCACGTGGACACTGGAAGACGATATTATGTTGCATTAAACAAAGATGGGACTCCACGAGAAGGGACTAGGACTAAGCGGCATCACAAATTCACGCATTTTTTACCTAGACCAGTGGACCCAGAGAAAGTCCCTGAACTATATAAGGATATTTTAAGCCAAAGTTGACAAAGACATTTTCTTCCCTTGAGCCCTTAAAACAAAGTAACCACTATAAAGGTTTCATGCGGTGGGTTCTTAATTGATTAGCTGTGTCATCACATCAGCTCCACTGTTGCCAAACTTTGTCGCATGCATAATATATGATGGAGGCTTGGATGGAACATGCTGATTTTGTTCTGCACTTAAAGGGTTTGTCTTCCTGGAGGAGAGCCTACGCCCATCGCTTGATTTATTAAGAGAGAAAGGAAAGAAGCGTGAGAATGTGTGAGAGTGAAAGAGAAAGAGGATGAACGAAGCTGGAGCAAGAAGGAAGGGGGGAAAAAGGCCTGATGCATGCTGGGAAACAGACACGCTTTTAAATTTTTTGATCTGTTGTACTTCATTCTATATCAGCATAGCTGCCATACTTTGACTCATCAGGAATTTTGGCTGGTGGCCTGCGCAAGTGTACGCTGCATTTAAAAAAAAGGCATGGAGGGTTCTGTCTTACTTAAACAAAAGGATACAAAAGCAAAAGAGACTTATTTTCCGTTTGATGGCTCAAGTGGGAGTCACCCCTTGTTGAGTTTCAAGCAAACACCTCTTAGGTAAAACAGGAGAAGATGGGGGAAAAATAAAAATAAAAAATTAATAAAAAGCTAAATTTATTTATAGAAATTCCAAAGGCAACATTTTATTTATTTTATATATTTATTTATTATATAGAGTTTATTTTTAATGAAATATGTACAGGCCAGATAGGCAGTTTGGAAGCTTTAGGCTCTGTAAAGCATTTCAACAGCGAAAGCCGCTATGAACCTGTGATAAAATTCATGCAAGTCAAACGTAAAGGCGCATGGAGGCAAAGAAACCTAGGGATCCTAATGTACTAAAGGTGACAATCTCTTTTGTGCCCATATTATTGTAAAAGTATGCACACCACTCATGTCACTGGGTGCTCACTCTTCTGACTGCTTGTTTCATAGCTTAAACTTTCCCCTCTTCTTCCCCTTCTTTCCTTGAGGATTAAAGATAAAATTGGGTCTTCAAAACTTTAATTCTGCGTCTGTAATATTTCCTCTTTGATAAATGACTTATTCCATCTTTGTAAGCTTCACAGCCATGGAAGAAAGAAAAAGAAGGGTTGGTATATATATTCTACTCATTAAAACCTACTGCAGATAATACCAAAGCTAAGTGATAAATATGCTCTTTTTATTTTAGCAGAATGCCAGAAACATCCTAATATTGACATTTTGTGCTAATTAAGGTTCTCACAACTACTAGTCCAAGAAGCCAGGGATGAGGTTCCCTCTTGTAAAAAATATGTTTAATTGTGCACTTGACTATCTACTCTGAGATTACACAAGTTCCATAGGGGGTATTATTGTAACATCTTTTATGGGAAAATTGCTTTCACTGTGAACTATCATAATACTTATTAGCACCCTTCTTAAAGTAAGACTCTTGCAAAATAAAACCAATAAATCTCTATTGAGAATTGCAATGAGGGGGAAAGTACTATACTCGTTTTATTTCCTGAGGCTATCTTTCAAATGTACCTGAAGTATATAATGCAGAATTCATTGTATACTGTATGTTATTAGGATTATATAACATAAATGCAAACACACCCTTTATTATTGGTTGCAATTTGGGCTTGCCTTTCGCTGGGGAAAAAGGCTTTGTCATCACTCTGAGAGAATAACAGAACAGGCAGAAGCACTGAATCAGTATGTGGTGTTCATATACAGGCAGTCCCCAAGTTACGAACAAAATAGGTTCTGTAGGTTTATTCTTAAATTGCATTTGTATGTAAGTTGGAAATGGTACCATTTTTAGTATAACTCCAGACCCCCTTTCCCCATGATAACACTTCCAGGAGATTCCATCTGAACGTGAGGAAGAACTTCCTGACTGTGAAAGCCGTTCAGCAGTGGAACTCTCTGCCCCGGAGTGTGGTGGAGGCTCCTCCTTTGGAGGGTTTTAAACAGAGGCTAGATGGCCATCTGTCAGGGGTGCTTTGAATGCAATATTCCTGCTTCTTGGCAGGGGGTTGGACTGGATGGCCCATGCGGTCTCTTCAAACTCTATGATTCTAGGAGTGAATTTCTCTCACTTACTGTTGTCTCAGCCCCATTCTTAACTATGAGTCATTTGTAAGTTGGATGTTTATAACTCGGGGAATGCCTGAATAATATATATATGCAATTGTGTAGGGGAAATATACAGCTTTGGACTAACACAGCTAGCTCAGCATACTTGTGGTTATACTTGTGGATAATAATTTGTCTGGCATGCTGCTCCTTTTCCTCCGAGTGAACAATATCCACTTCTTTGCTTTCAAGCCAGCTGTTAAAAGAACTGAAGGAATGGCTCTGAATATTGATCAAGCAGCATTCCAAAACCCACTCAGGAATGTAGGTAGATGTGTTATATTGATCTGTCTAGCACAGTATTGTTAACTTTGATTGGCATTAATGGCTCTCGCGGGTTTCAGACATGTTTCTTTCCTGGCCTAATCTAGAGAGAACCCTGACAGATGACCATCCCTCTAAGTACTAAGCAGGCTTGATTTACCCTGCTTAATTTAGTTAGAGAAAGGTGGGTCTGTTTGGGATAGTACTGTGTTTTCCCGAAAATAAGACATACCCATAAAATAATTCATAGCAGGATTTCGAAGCATTTGCGCAATACAGGGTAAGGCAGCATAACTTCCTTTTTTCAAAACTTAATAAAACCCATTGTATGAATCAGAATTTTTTTATAATGTAGGCGCATACCTAAAGTTTTGTTTTACGTAGTTTTGAAGATCAAATTAGGTAGGTGACGTCCCCCATTCTCCATACACTGAGTAAACCGATTTCTGGCATTTGTCATGACTCTTGCCAGCATAGCAGGCGTTATGTTGGCAGTTTCTTCCTGGATGTTGGTATTCAAATCTTGTAGGGTCCTTGGATGGTTCACATAAACACAGGATTTCAAAAAACCTCATAGAAAAAAATCACAAGGGGCCAAATCTGGAGAGCGGGCTGGCCACTCCAAATCCGCTCGAAAAGTAGGCCTCAATGGCAAAAGCATGCTCCTCACTATTCCAATGCATGATGGCGACTGAACTGTGCCAGGACAAAACTTTATACTCCTGCCTCTCGAACGAGACCACTAGCGCTCCGCTACGTCTTCAACCGACTGAATGGCATGAATTTTAAAAAAGGAAGTTATGCTGCCTCACCCTGTATAAGCCATACCCCAAAAATCAGACATAGTGATATAAGCTGAGGCACAGAGGGAGACATAGAAAGTGAAATGCAAGAACTATCCGCAGTGGCGGCAGATGTGAGCCTGGGCCTCTCTTTCTCTCACTTCCTGCCTCCTCCTCCTCCTTTTTCTCCTTCTGTTCTTTTTCTCCTTCGGGCCAGGCCAGGCCAGGCAAGGCTTCCTCCCCAAGTGAGTGAGAGAGGGAGTTAGTGACTGGCTTCAACAAGGCCATTGTTGGTGGCGCTGCTTCCCTTTGGCCCATCCCCGAGGAAGTCTCCTCAGTGAAGTGAGGAGCAGGATGCTCTGCTTTAGGTATTGTGTGTCTTCAGGGGGAAGAAGTAAAGCTGTGGTTGCCATTTTACTCAGCACTATATTAGAATAAATGCAGATTGTTGTACCATACTTAATAAAAACCAGACATTCCCTGAAAATAAGCCATAGTGTGTCTTTTTGAGGAAAACTAAAAATAAGACAGTGTCCGAAAAGACAGTGTCTTATTTTCGGGGAAACACGGTATGGTGGTTGCAGTAGTCAAACCATTTGCTATAGAATAAGTTAGTTGACAACTGTACTAGTGAATCAGTTGTTTTCCATTGAAACCAGTGGTAATTCTGATAACATAAGCAACTCTGGAACCATGTATTGTACGTTGAGTTTTTCATGTGGAAGTATTTGCAAGCATGGAGGCAGTTTCAAGACAAAAGTTTCAGGCTCCTTTAATAAGAATGGAGTTTGATATACAGAGAGATTGGACGCTGTTTTTGTACACATTAAAGTCAAAGATCAGTATGTACAAAATGAATGCAAGCAGTTTTAAAGAGAATATTATATTCAACATGAGTATGCAATCACAAATGATATCCCTGTTTCCAGTTTGACCCTCTGTACCATGATGTCGAGTTACATATCTATCTGTGTTACAAACTGTGCATTTCCATGCTACTTGTAAAGCCACATTAGTGCAGAGTATCAAGACTGAGGAGCATGATGTGCTCAAACTACATAGAAGAGGTGAAAAACTCAACAAGGGAATGGCGTTTTAATAGCAGCTTGTGTTCAATTCAATGTATCTTTCCAACCATATGCTAGCCAATCTGCAATGCCTGATGTCATTTCTAGAGGTGATAAGATGCAACTATCCATGATAAACTGAAAAGAAATGATGCACATAATTGACAGCTAAAATTGTCATGTGAACATAATGATGGGTGCACACGACAACCCCTTGGTGAGATTGAGACTTGAAAATTTAAGAGATGCTAGTATCACTACTTTATCAGCTCAGACTATAATCAAACTTCCCATAGGTATTATAAATGACTACATTATTAGGCTTGGACTAAATCTTTCAAAATTGGGAAAAAGACAGCAAGATTAATTCCAAGGAACATCACATATAACTGCAGAACATTTCTACTTACAATTTACTTTTTCTTCTGCTGTTATATTGTGCTTTGCTATGTGGGAGTAAGCCTTGATGAGCTCAACGGGAGTTACTTCTAAGTACACAGACAACATACTATTGCACTGTTAGCTGTTTATCAGGGCATTGTGACTTCTAAAGAACTATATCCCATTTATTTGTATAGCTGTTTCCATTGCTACCTGCTTTTTAATGTTTAACTTTTTCTAAAAAATGAAATGGATATTAAACAGGCTGCATCTTAACATATCCATGAGACAGACATGGGTATTCAACATTTTAAAGCACCCAACCAAAGAAAGCCTAGTGGCAAGATATGGTGGCTACTTGAAATTTAATATTTTCCCAGCATCTTGCCTAAGATCGCAAAAACAAGCATATTGGTAATTTTCAATACTCAGGCTATGTTTGGCTGGGTGGGTCATACCTTGTACAGGCCTTTCATGAGCCTTTAATCATCAAACCCATTTGTCATTTATTCTGCAGTTCTTCAAAAGTCTATCTAATTTTCTATTGTATAATAATTTGGACCAGAAAAATGTATTAAATGAAGAAATGATTGAAAAGACATAGCAGTTTAACATTCAGTAGTATAAATGCATATATAGCATAAAGGTGGATTCAAGTAGCAATAAGCATCTAAATTTGCACTAAGTCCACAACATGTTAGGGGCACTCATAAACTGAGGTCAACCTTGCCATGAACTGATCAGAACAACAAGACTATACATTTTAGCCTTAATGTGGAATTTGCTGGTATTTTTGATCATAGATCATTAATATTCCTTAACATGTTTAATTTAATTTATTTTTTGTATTTTTTAAAGAAAGGAGCAAGAAAAATGTTATTACTTTATGGCAGTTGATAACAATAAACTGTAACCAATTTATTCAAATAACCATAGTGGTGTGTATATACCTCCTGGATTTCTTTAGATATAAAAATGGCATAAACATTCATTGGAAATGAATAGTCCAACAAATGACATTAGGCACCGAACCTTTCATATTTGGGTATAATGAAAGCAAAAGATAAATTTGGTCATTTCTGTCAATGCGCTATATGTGTCTTTTCTATATGTTCACTTGAACACTGCTCAATCATTATTCTTTACTATATATTAACTTGAACTCCATGTTCATTTGTAGTAACAAAAATTAATATACCCTCCATACAAGTGTGAACCTCCTATACAGAAGAAAAGTGATGAGTAGTTACATTTAAAAGAATCCCCATGCCATAAATTCAGTTATACTGAGGCCTGGAGCATTAGTCCTTTACATCATGTTTTGGACTTTAACTCCTACAATTCCTAACAGCCAGTAGGCTGTTAGGAATTGTGAGAGTTGAAGTCCAAAACACATGGAGGGCCAAAGTTTGCCCATGCCTGGATAAGTCTCACTCACCCAGCCTCAGAGAAGGGCAAAGACAAAGCCCCCTCTGAGCAAATCTTGCTACGAAAGAAACTCAGTAGGTTTGCCTTAACATTGCCATAAGTTGGAAAATACATGAAAGCACAACACAACAAGAATCGGTTTGTTACACTGGCATAATGCAGTTTTGCCAGGTTAGGCAGCAGTGGCACGGTGACGGCAGAAAAAGCCATGGGCATTAACATAGCAAGATGCCCCGCTGACTCCTGAGCAGCTTAGGAGCTCACAGAACAGTTTTTACTTCCGATACCCATGGCTTCCAATGTCTTCACACACTCCCATCACTGAGCATTTTACTCTTGTTATTGCTGTTTTATTGTTGTCTAAGACAGTGTAATTTATGCTGCTTCTGCACAGCCATTTAATCCGCCAGCATATGGATTGAACAGGTTTGCT